TTAAAGGCAGACTCGATAAATTCTCATTATTCTTTCGAATCATTTGAATCGATAGAAATAAACATAAAATTGTGATCGAACCATTTTTAACTCGGGTCTTTTCGTTATTGTTTTGCAATTCCTCATATTGTGAACTATTCTCATAAACGATTGTTCGTCACTTCGTAAAATTCCATTTGGCTACATTTTGGACAGTTTTGCACACAATGCGATAATTTTGAACTTCTTGTTGACACAATGCCGGACGAGGGATTTAAAATTAGTATATCGTCTTCGCCGCTAGTAGACGAATCCCAGACGAAACGTAGGCGGCTGTCAATATTCGCTGCCAATTAACACGCACTTTGTTTTAGCATTTGTTTGTTCCGACCTAAAGGAGTTTCATATTCAGTTTATCCAACACGCATTAATTTCAATTAAAAGCACAAATGGATCGAAACTCATCGAATAATATCAGGGGAAGAAACTTTAAGTACAGTGTAGATAGAAAACAGATTTGGCAAGGAATACAATTTTGTATAGTCAAGGATAAAAGTGAGTGGACAAACAATGAAAATGGATTTATTTATTATTTATTGTATTTCTGTCATTCTGCTTCTCTTCGTAATTGTATAAGATTTTATAAACAAACAAAGATATTTATATTTCTTTAAAATTAAAAAATTAAGAAAATTAAACAATGCGATGAAATTAAGTAACTGAAATATAGGTGCCCCAACGTATGAAAATATAATAAAATTTAACATTTTCTAACGAGTAACTAAAATAATTAATTTTTAGAATATTTTGGATTCTCAAGATTCAAAGTGACTTTCTAAGAAATTTTTATCAAATATGATATAAATAGAAAAATTTTATAATACGATTGTACTTATTTTATAAATACAAAATTTTTGTGAAAAATTACAGTGTTTGAGACTACTGTGCATTAAAAATCAGTTCCGTGCTATAGTATTCGATGAAGTTTAAGGAATCGTTGCTTTGTTCTTCGTTCGATGAGTAATCGTTCAAATAGAAAGCTCTACGGACCTTGAACCGGAGCTTTTCGACCCATTTTCGACAGATTTATCGGCAGAAAGCTAGAAGAGATTTCGCGAACGCTGATGAAATGTCGGATCCGCTGTTTGACGGTCGCGTGTGCGTACGGAGCTACCTTGACACGAAATATGCATCGCAAGATTGCGGTAACCAACTGCAGTCTGAATGCACATCCACGAAATTAGATGTTTACAAGGCGACCGCCTTGACTCGGAATCGTTTCAGTCCGCTTTAGAGACAATCTTCGTTAAAAAAAAGTTCACCCGACTTAACAGGAATACAAATTTTCGCATTTAAAGTGAGGCCCCTTTTGACATTTAACGTGGAAACACTGTAGGCATTTCAATCTCATGAAAATCAGTACAATCATTAAGCTTGTTTTGAAAACAAATTTTAGAATACAGTTCTAAATTAAAATTGTCACATTTAATGTAAAGACCTTTTTCACATTTTACGTGGAAACACTGTACTCACTTAAATCTTGTGAGAATTAGTATGATTATTAAGTTTGTATTGTACAAAAAATTTCAGAATGCATTTCTAAATAAAATTGTCACATTTAATTAAGGTTCTTTTTCTTGTTTAATTTAGAAATATTGTACTTATTTTAATCTTACGAAAATTAATACAATTATTTAAGCTAGTTTTGCAAAATAAAATTTTAGAATATAATTCTAAATAAAATTGTCACATTTAACGTCAGCCCTTTTTCCATATTTACAATCATTTAAGTTTGTAATATAAAAAATTTTAGAATATAAATCTAAATGAAACTGTCACATTTAAAGTAAAGTCCTTTTTCACATTTAATTTAAAAACATTGTATTCATTTTAATCTCACGAAAATTAACACAATAATTAAGTTTGTCTCGTAAAAAAATATTCAAATTTTCAAATATGATTTTAACTTAATACTTAATACTGAAACGAACAAACTTGAAGCTTCATTTGCTAAATCCAATCTCACATTATGGAAAAACTAATTTGTATCTGGCGCCAAATGTGTCAAGTACTTTTTTTTTCTCGCGAGCCTCTACACTGATAGGAATAGAGAATTATTTACAAGAAACTCACGGTGACCGGTACAGTTATGCTCCTCGCTGTACGTTCTGTGCATTCCTGTGCATTTTCAATGATTGGCTGTTCCCGGCGGGATCCTCTCCGCGTGGACGCAAACGCGCAGCAATTCCCTATGTTAATCCTGCAAACGGAAAGTGCACGCCGACTGTTGCAGCGACGCCTTTCTAAGCAATACCTTTATCTGCATCAATGAGCGCTTAAGGACTCGTTACGTTTATCCGACACGCGTGACCAACATGCAAATCTCCTCGCATGACGTACAGACTCGACTTGCAGTTGCACGAATACAAATGCACCGCTTGCGGGTGCAGCGTCTGCAATCTTTCAACGCATCGATTTTCCCTCATTTTCTCAGACACCGTTCAACTCTCCCGTTTTCCCGTTTAGACGATCAAACGACCACCCAATAGAATACTCTATTATCCATTTGATCGGTGAACAAATTTTTCTAAATGAAATCTTGAGGTTTATTGGTTCTGGCAGGGGTCGTCAAATTTTTTTAATTATGGATCTCCTAAAAATCTTGGAAGCCTCTTATATAAGTCCACAAAACTTATGTGTAATAAACAAAAAGAGCTTTTAGTATTTTTATGCATTTATTTTGCAATTTTATATATGATATTTATTAATATAATTTTCGTTAAAGTGGGAATAATGTTTATATTAATTATATATTCTATATTTTGGTTAATTGACCCACCCTAGCACGGATTGACCCCTAATAATGTACCCCCAATAAAATTTATCACTTTGGTGACCCCACACTGGTCTAGAAGGTTATTTTCTTAGCTTTCTTTGGGAATTTTTTTCTTTAAATCGGTAGATTCTATGGTTCTGGGATTTTATACATGTATTTAGCAATGTTTCGCGAGCACGAAGTAATTTTTTCATGTAAAAGTAAAGATTATTATAGAAGCTACGTATTTTTATGTAACTTCTAAAAAAATGCAGCTTTATGGCTGTCGAATGAATTAGAAAGTAAAATTTGAAAAACTCTATTTATTTAAGATTCTGAAAGACAACCTTAAATAATTTTTCTTTTATAAAATTTCAAATATGTCCACTAGAATAGTTTATTAAAAATTATTTTACCTTTCGAAAGTTTGACTTTAAGTTTGAAATTCCCTGGAAAAGAGACAATAATAAATTCCAAAAATATATTCGTAGATTTTATCAATAAGCATATTGCAGCTAAAAGGAAAAATTTGGTCTAGCAAGAAGTCTGAGAGGATAGTAAATTTTATTTTAATCTAAACAGTAGAGTTTCAATGAATATAATATCCGTCCCCAGGGACGACGTTGTTAATTATATCGCAAATTGGTCACACTCGATTACTAAAATTGGGTTAGGGGCTGATTGCCCAGTGGAACGTGGCCGTTGTTGACGTCAAGTCCGTGCACAGGTTCGTTTAGGAGTCGCCAATATTTCAATCTTCATTCGCGAACTCGTTTTGCCACCTTTTCACGGCCTTTCGTCTACATAGCTTCAAAGGTTGGACATCTAAATACTACGAAACGCACCACGGTAATTAATAACGTGAGATCGAATGAAGAGCCAACTGCAAGTCACAGCTCGTTTCTAAGAACTCATTCTCCTAGAAACAGTGTAAAAATTATGAAAGCAACTCAAGAAACAGTGATACAGAAAGGAATAAATAAACAACTTTTGGAGAAATCTTAGTTTTTAAAATTTCTCGATTGATCCGGGCAAAATGAAAATGAACTGAAGAAAAAGATTTCTCCTAGATCTCTTTAATCCTCGAAACAGCGAGCAATTCCAGAAAAACACTTAAATTAAGTCAGAATTTTTCACATAACAATAATAATTCTTTATTTGAAGGATTGATCCTTTGTATACATTTAAAAAAAAAAACTTTAAAGATGGTTTTAATACAGAGTTAATTTGTTTTAAAAGGGTATTGAGGGTAATATGGCGAAAATAAATCCAATTGTTCACAAAAGTTATTTACATGAATTGTAGTGTAATTTACATAATTATAGTATCGTGAGAATATAATAATAATAAAATTAATAAATAAAATTATAATAAACCCTACTAAATCTTTGATTATTCAAATTATTAATAAATAATAGAGAAAATGTATTTGTGATTTTTATTTGTGATTTTTAGAAATGATGTATCACTCAACTATACAAAGATAAAAACTCAGAGCATGTTATTTGTATTTTATATACAAAAATGAAATTACAGATAGTGTATTAGAATATGCAAAATATGGTATCAATTTGGTAATCCTTTTCAATATTATTTGCCAAACAATATTGATTAGTGACAATAATATTTTTGCAAATAAATTGTTGTTTCTCAGCCATAATGTTATCCAAAATTTTTGTAACTACACTTTGAATGTTAATTGGCCTATCATTTTCAACATTAAATGGATCTTCGTACCTTCTATTCATAAGAAAAAATATTCTAATTTATCGACATAATCGACAAAATTCTTAATATTACAATGAGATTGATTAGGATTTCTTGGCTTTGGAGTGGACAGTATGTAACTATCCGCGGAATAATAACTCGAGAGGCAAATTCTCGGGCTATTCCCGGATCATACCCGCAATCAAAGTGCTTTCTAAATATTCGAGGCAATCTCTGCAGGCTTAGAATAAGCTACGGAATCAAACAAAAGCCATCTCATTGTGAAAAAAAAATTCCATACCGGTGTCCTATGGGCTAGTCGAACGTTAGAAGATGTTTAATGGGCAATAAACAATAGAGCCACAGCGTCGTCGATCGGCGGGCGAGCATCGCTAAAAATAAGGATTTTAACCGTTGCCAAATTTCAACAAATATCGCGGCTGAATTTTGAATCGGAGGCTGCGGGAACAGCGTCGTTCAGTTGTCGTTCGTCCGCAAATTCGCGTGTACGCTCTCTTTTTTGGGGGTTCCGTTAAAATCCGAAACTTGCTCCAGAAGAACTTTTTCGAACCTCGTCGACGTCGAAAACACGGTGTTTTTCGGTGTTCAGGATTTCAACTAGTGGCTCTATAAAGTCCCCAATTCTTCAAATAGATCCACAGAATAGAAAAGAAGACGTAGGAGATGATAAAGGTCTTTTTAGAGGATAAAAACTATTTACTTTAGAAATCTGGAAATTCTGACAAAATTGCTCTAAAGAGACATCTCCAACTTCTGAAGACTGTGTGTGATGGATGCTTCTCACCAGCTCAGGAAAGCCCAACTGTAACAAGAAATTTAACAGTAGAATCTAGAAAAACAATTCTACAGTCTGTTGATAATTACCTGTCAATGCAACAACTAAATATGAAGAACAAACAAATTTCGATAGAACCTGAAAACTTTGGGGATTGAGTGGTCTCTATCTGTTGATCTCTGGATTGGGAAGTGTATACCTAAAATTTATAACAAGTTATCATTAAAAACATTATAACAATCGATTCCAGAGAGTATTGTAGCTACCAAGTTGTCATCTCGAATCTAGAAGTTCGCAAAGGTTGAAGCGTATCGGTGTAGCTCTATTTGTTGATGTCTGTCGCGTGACAAGAGCATTCTGCTAGTCGCTAGAAAGAGGAAACAATAGAAACACGATAGATGATTCACAGGTGACTTGTTGATCGCTGCCAAAAATATCGAATCCCGAGGTTTGCCAAAAGGTGACGTAGCAGAGGAATGTTAACGCGCAGCAGTAATTAGTCAATCATCAGAGGGCGGATCGGGATCTAGAGATCTAGCCTTCAGAGACGAGAGAAGAGCTCGTACGATCGCGGTTTGGGACGATTCATTTGATCGAGTCGACCTAGTGGATGAAAATGTGCAATCGGCTGAGAGTACACTGCGAAGCGTTTTTGTACTCCAGTAATGCCGCGTCCGTGACTTAATCAATCCAACGATCGAGGAACTTGGTGCACCCTCTGCTAGGGGATCGTCGGTAGGGGCTAAGAAGGATCTTCGATCCAGATTTCATGCCGGCTTTCGTCCTGAACAGAACTTATTTCGTCTGCAATGATGAGTATCCTGTGAGTTCAGAAATCTAAAAGAGCCTTTTGGTGTGCTTTTTACCTTAATGTTTTTTTCTCGATTTTTTAAATTTCAAGAAGTAAAATTTAGACAATGTCACACGATCGAGCATTTATTATTTATCCTCAGAGTGTGCAAACCATTCAATTAACAATCAAATTTAATATTTGATACGTTGTGAAACACCCTTCTCCTCCCAATTTTTACCCAAAATCTATAATTCCTGATGTTAGTATTCAGAAATATCAAGCATTACAATTATATTATATTGCTCAAGAAATATAAGCATTCCCTAGTAAATTTTCTTTTATGAATAACTTTTAAATACCTAAAAAATCGATTGTTAGGGCGAACATCCTGCACAGAATTAATTTCCATGAACGTTGATTTGTAAATAGGAAAATATTTTCGACACATCGATGAATGAGGAAACCAAAGGCTTTCGCCGAGTCGAGCGAAATAAATCATATTCCGATTAATCGACGACGATCGATCATGTCTGCTATAGCTAGAAAATCCTTGGCTTGCATGCGATCGAACGTTAATCGATTACGTATCGCGTATCAGATGGAACTCGGTTGTTTTCGTTAGTTTTTGAACGGCGCGACGTTGAAACAAATCTCAAGATCGCAGCAATTTTAAATCTCGTGAGTCGTTAGTTCCGTGAATGTAGCAAGAAGATCCGGATCGAACACGATCGGAGGGTCGTGCTGAGTGATCGTGGATCAGAGACGTTTGGTACGTACCTAGCAGCCATAATCATAACCTTCGTTCGACCAAAACCTGCATCGTGTTCTTTCGAAATAATATTAACGCATTGCACACCGAATCGATAACGAGCTTTGAATCAATATTCATTTTTCTTAAACGCGTTCTACATCTTATTATCGCTTTATCGAATGTGCAGAGCATGGCAAAGGAAACCTGCCAGTTCGAGAAACGGTTTGCAAATATTACAAATTGTATTTGCAACGCGATAAATAAAACGTAATACGTGTCGCGTCAATGGCTTCTAGTCGTGTCAAATTAAAACGACGCCTATTACGTAAGTTTATTCCTGTACTATTTTTATTCCATGCAAATGCTGTACGGATTTATAAATAGAATTTATCCAGACGAGTCTAAGTGGCTGTCGTAAACCAGGAGCTCGTTGCATCTTGCTACTTTCTGTTTTCGAGACACAACCACTCGAGGTTTACGCGTTACATTATATTATTTTAATGGACGCTTCTGGTTCGTCTCTAATTTCACTCGTGTATCCGCGATTCTTTGAAAAGCTCTGAGAAAATGCCAGGATGATGTAGTTACGGATTCTTGGCATTCATTGTACCGATTTTCGATTCTGGTATGTCAAATGTAAGAGAAAAGGAACTTTTTAAAGACAGAAATGCAATGCTTTTGCATGATTCTTCGACCAAGTTCCCCATTTTTGGGTTACCAACCTCTAGTTTTAGGATGCTCATTAGGATGGATCTTATATTTGATTATCGAAATTTTTATGTGCAACCCTCTGGATTTGTTTACCTTGATAAAAAAATAATTCCTATAAAAGGGAAAGTCAATAGGACAATGAGAAAGGGTGCCACAATTGACTTAAAAGTTTTAGAACTTCAGAAATTTTACTCCAATTCTATCTGTAATTCTATTTTAAAATTTCGGTTGAAGAAGTTGTTATTATTTAATACAAGGATTATTTAATTATAACATTTATCTATAGAGACTACTACTATAAAGAGCTAAAATGCCTGGGGCATCCCACCATGTGAGGTAAAATGAATTTCTTTTAAGTAATGAGGAGAAACTAGGAATTCAAAATATTTGTATTTTTTTGGTTTTATACATTTTAGCTTGAATTCGTACCACCGTACCAGCAATTAAATTTATAATTTTTAAATAATTTATATAAATAGAAATACATAGATGAAGCAATAAGTAATACAACACTTCAAAAATTCTTATAGCATTATCTTTCCTTAACCCCGATATTTTTGCAAAAACGAAGAAAAAAATGATTCGAACCCTTGAAAACGAATCAGCAAAATTTAAAGAAGTTATTCATTCATACAAAAGACGTAAAACATTATACAAATGTTACTATTGATAATTTCATTTCTACCCAAACGTTAACATTTTTTTCTCGATTTCAAATAAATACAGGAATTCACGATATCCTACTAATTGTAACAGAATATAAACAGCGTTATCCTGATATAGACAAAAAGACACTAAGTTAAAATTTGTAATAAATATGAATATTTGCAAAGTTATTTCTAGTGTCTTGTACCTTTTTCCTTTACATGCAAGCGCATTTTGACTTTATACTCGGTAATCAAAATTCAAGGTAACATAAGCGATAGTCAGTGAGTATTAGCCATCGTAACACTTAAATTAAACATAAACAAAATTATTAAATAATTTTATTTTTGTATTCTCTGACGTTATATTATTTTCATACGAAATCGAATTTATGTTTGAACAAAGATTTTTAATTTTTAATAAATAACTTTTTTCTGTTACAATACATTATAGTTATACAGATTTTAGTCTAAATTAACCTGTACCAATCAATGATGTGATAAAATTGATATTTTCCTCTCTTTAATGAAATTTAATTTTTTCACATAAACGAAACCGTTGTGGCACTTCTTTTTGTTATCTAATCGATTTGATTTTTGTAGAAATTATTTTTTTCTAAAATCGCACGATTAAAATTCTAACAAAATTTTTGACCAAGAGTAACTAAGGTCCATCCTAGTGTTCATGGAAGAATCATGATATCACAAGCACATATGATTTCAATATCAGCCCCTTAGACTCGCATAAAACCTTAATGTTTGAAAGAACGCTAAATCGATGAGGTTACAAGGCATTACGTGCACCGTGGAAAAGTGTTTGACCACGGTTGAGGTGCAGAGGTTTGATAAAGAATGATGATGCATCCAGATGTATGGTCGCTACACGAAGGACCTGGGTGAGTTCGCAAAAGAAGAGGCACGGAAGCTCAAATACTACGAGAAAGCGCGACGGAAGTATGACAAGACTACGGCGGAAGGTCTCGGAAAGTCGAGCAGAGGACCTTTGTGCCGGAAGTTGCTGGCGCTGCTGGCCTTCGCTTGGAAACACACCGGTGCCAGACTGGGCGAGGACTGGGTCTTCCTTGCTCTGCTCGGTGTCATTATGGCGCTGATCAGCTACGCCATGGACCGCGGCATCTCCATGTGCAACAACGGTCAGTGTTTACATCAAATTCTTCAACCAGAATTATACTATACAGTTCGTTAACTGTGTTCTTGTTTCACTAGCTAGGATATGGCTTTATCAGGACCTCACGCATCATCCAGCGCTTCAGTACGTAGCGTGGGTGACACTGCCAGTCTGCCTCATCCTCTTCAGCGCCGGATTTGTGCACATCGTTGCACCCCAGAGCATAGGATCCGGGATTCCAGAGATGAAGACTATCCTGCGTGGCGTGGCCTTGAAGGAGTACCTCACTTTCCGCACACTAGTTGCTAAGGTTAGTCAATAGATACAACAGAGTACCTCTGCACTGATCCAACTAGTCCAATACTGCACCGAAGTTAGGTACGCAATTATCTTCAGTAGCGTATTTTGTCCAACAAGACGAATCAATATTAACAGTCAAATTGTATAACCACCCGTCCGCCATCTTGTTTTATTGGACAAGTATAGTCCTAATTTTGTAACAGGTGATAGGTTTGACCGCGACTCTGGGCTCCGGGCTTCCCTTGGGCAAGGAGGGTCCGTTCGTGCACATTGCCAGTATAGTGGCTACCCTGCTCTCGAAGTTGGTCACCAGCTTCCAAGGGATCTACGAGAACGAGAGCAGAAACTGCGAAATGCTGGCCGCGGCGTGCGCGGTTGGGGTCGCTGCCTGCTTCGCAGCACCCATTGGCGGGGTCCTCTTCAGCATAGAGGTCACCACCGTCTACTTCGCTGTTCGAAACTACTGGCGCGGATTCTTCGCTGCCGTCTGCGGCGCCACAATGTTCCGATTGCTGGCCATCTGGTTCCAGAGGGAGGAGACCATCACCGCCATGTTTGCCACGAATTTTACCATGGACTTCCCCTTCGATCCCCAAGAGCTGTTCGTCTTCGCTCTGATCGGTGTAGGTAGCGGCTTGGGCGGCGCTTTCTATGTCTGGTTGCACAGGCAGTACGTCATTTTTATGAGGAAGAACAAGAGCATGAACAGCTTTCTGCAGAAAAAGTGAGTTTACACACTCAAAATAACAATTAACAATAATTACTCGGTACTTAATGCATTTCCCCCTTATTCCATCGAATTGTTGCAGTCGTTTTTTATATCCCGGTATCGTTTCCCTGCTGGTGTCGTCCGTGTCGTTCCCTCTGGGACTGGGTCAGTTCATGGCTGGTGACTTGAACACGCATGATCAAGTGTACGGCCTGTTTACCAATTTCACTTGGACCAAACAGCACCTTGGCGTCGAAGAAATAAATACGGTGAAACACTGGTCGACCACGTACACCGATGTGTTCACCGGACTTTTAGGTTTCGTCGCGTTCACGGTAAGATCAGACGCTTTCGAGGACGATTCTGTCCTCTGTCACCCCACTCGACCCTCCCCCCGTAAATACCGGACGCTAATATACGGAAGGTTGCAAGATATTCGAATTCTTCGAGCGAAAAGGAATCGAAAAGTCCTTTACCGTTTCGTAATCCGTGGCTCCGTTCCGATATACGAGCAGTGAAAGTTTCCGCGTGCGAAGACGTTGGCCGCGCGACTTTAGTACGCAGGCGCGCAATCAGCTGACTAGAATACAAATGGCGCGCGCGTTGGGCAAACTTGAACTACTTGTATCTCGAAAACGGGAGTTTCGATCGTAAAACGGTAAAGGACTTTTCGATTCCTTTTCGCTCGTAGATAAATAATATAAATCATTTCTTCGTTTATACCAAAACCCATTGAACTTATACTCGCGAAATTCAGCATGAAACTTTTACGGTGGATAACAAAATGGCCGCTGTTATCCGCCGTTGGAGGATCAACACTTGTGAAAGTCCTCAATCGAACAAAGGACTTTTGATTTCAGTTCATCTTTTCCATTATAAGCTCGACCGTTCCCGTGCCATCGGGAATTTTCATCCCCGTCTTCAAAATCGGCGCTGCGCTGGGTAGAGCGGTGGGTGAAGCCATGGCCCTATGGTTTCCTAACGGCGTTCGCTATGGTGGCGTCATAACTCCTATTGTACCAGGTAATCCCAACTCGAATACTTGGAGAAATTCTAGTTTTAATGATAGGGTAACCATCCCTATTGTGTTCCCTAAAAATTAATTTACATTTTGTACATATCGATTTGGTAATTGGTCCCTGATCTTGTCTTCGCTTTTAGATCTTGTTATTCTATTTCTATTTCCGTTTGCCCATCGTCCAAGTGTTTGTTTCTGATCATTATCGAAGGGAATCGCGTTTTAGGAGGTTATGCCACCGTCGGAGCAGCCGCGTTTTCCGGCGCAGTGACTCACACAATCTCCGTCAGCGTCATAGTCTTCGAGATGACTGGTCAAATCACTCACATTGTTCCTATCATGATAGCCGTACTGATCAGCAACGCGGTCGCCGCTCTCCTTCAGCCTAGCATATACGATAGCATCATTCTCATCAAAAAGCTGCCATACTTGCCGGACCTGCTGCCCTCCAGTTCAGGTGGGTCTATCAATTTCTGCTCGTCTCGATTTTCGTCACTTTAAGCCATTTTTCTTGTTGCTTTCGACAAGCTTATCGAAGGAAAATAGCGAGGTAACGAACCATATCGGTTAAACGAGATTCTGCTGTAATTTATGTTTGAACAAAAGTGTTGAGGATGATTGGTAATTATCACAGGGATGTACAACGTGTACGTGGAAGATTTTATGGTTCGTGACGTTAAGTACATTTGGCACGGTATCACGTACCAGAGGTTGAAGGAAATCTTGAAGGAAAATCGAAAACTACGGGGTTTTCCGCTGGTTGACAATCCGGATTCGATGATTCTGCTTGGATCTATTCAGAGGCTGGAACTGATCAAGCTGATCGAGAAACACATAGGACGCGAAAGAAGACTGCAGGTAATTAGTTCGACATCCTTAAACCTAGAACATTCCTTTATTTTTTATTTAATCAAACTGTAATTACTAATTATGAGAATATGTGAACATTTTGTTTTAGGTGGCACAGAAGTGGCACAAAGAGGCGGAAGAAAGAGCTCGTGAAGAAATGGAGCGACAGCTGAGGGATCAGGAGAGGACAAGAAGACCGTCCAGGTTCGAGGTGATCCCAGCACCGGACATTCTTAAAATGCAGAGGCAAAGCGTTAACGATCTAACGATGTCTTCAAACAATGGCGCCGGCCTCGATCACGTGAGTCACGTCTCCTTGACGCCAATTCTCACGATTTGTATACACACGAGCTCGTTGAAGGTCTTCTATACTATCAGAGGTTGAAAAGATTTAACAAATAACTATTTCAAACTGTTATATAGGGTGTTCGACCACCCTTGAGAAAAATTTTAAGGCGAGATTCTAGAGGCCAAAATAAGACGAAAATCAAGAATACCAATTTGTTGATTGAGGCTTCTTTAAAAAGTTATTAACAAAATTATTGTCAAAAATTATTGATAAAATTTGTCCATTTATTCGAATTCTTTTCTCGGAAACCGCGTAGGATTTCGGGGGTATGTCTGTTGATCAAAAATGATTGCAATTCACCCCTATAACTGAAAATAATTTTTCCAGAATGATTTGAAATTTTTTTTTTACCGAAGAATTTAGGCACTACCCTGTCGATTTTTCTTAAACATTCGTTTTTCATTTTTAATAAATTTGTTTGACACGCTGCGGAAATTTTGTCCAATACTTTTTTGTAGGTACCCATAAACTCTACTTCAGAAAACAGTTTCATTGAAAAATATTCACTATTGTAGGACTTATGACCGTTTGAATACTGGACTATTTTTATGGGGTTTTTCTCATTTTGCGGGGTCAAGGATCAACTTTTCGAATATTTTTACGATATCTACATATTCTTGACCAAAATACGCGTCGTTTCCATTTTGAAATATTAAACTCGTCCAATCCGTTCAAGAGTTATAACGTTTTAAACATTCACACGAAATTTTGGGTAACATTTCTGGCCACTCATTATATTTTCAAGAAGGATTTTTTTCTCGAAAGTGGTTAGGATTTCGGGAGTATGTCTATTCACAAACAATGATTGTAATTGACGCCCACAACCGAAAATAATTTTTCCGCAAAATGATTTGATATTTTTTAATTTAATTTTGTTAATAACTTTTTAACAAAGCCTTAATCAAGAAATTGATATTCTTGACTTTCGTCTTATTTTTGCCTCTAGAATCTCCCATTAAAATTTTTTCCAGGAGTGTCCGAACACCCTGTATATGGGTTCCATGTTGCATGTTATTTTGGCTTTTATTAATTCTATTATTGTTCTTAAAAAGAACTTTATTTCTTTTTCGTATTAAAATGAACCGAAATTCTGTGTAAGTTTACAATCAAACATATGATAAATTAGGAAAATTTGATAAAAAGTAAATTGTGTTGGAAAATAGAAAAATATTTCTGTTTAATGAAATTTAAAGAACAGTTTATTTTGTACAAATGGAATAAACTCTTTTTGGTTTCAATTTTTATTTGGTTGTGGTATATATTTTTGGGGAAAAATTCTCAAAGAAAGTTTTAAAAAATGCATTTCATCTCGTATATTTTCCAGCATACCTACCACTCACCGATATTCGGATCCCAACCGAAGAAATCGATCCTGAAAAAGACTAATTCCTTCACTCTGAAAGGCTTCAGCCCCCTAGTCAGTCCAGCTGTTACACCCTACACAACGGTCACTGGAGCGGAGAGTAGGTGAGATATATAAAGTTTGAAACATAATTTTAAAGCACTCAAGGTTATCGTAATTTCTAAAATATTTAATATTTTTATATAGAAAAAATTGTGTATATTCTTGAAACACAGATCTAAATATAAGTAATCAAATTTTGTACAAATATATTTTACCCTTTCTCCTAAAAAATTACGTTTTGGAGTAAAACACTTTCAAGGCAATAATACATTTTTTATCATAAATATCTTGAAAACTATTTTAAATATTTGTCCCTATGATGCTACATTTTCGTAATCAAGATGACCAGATTTACAAATATGTATGGTTTCACTTTTTGCACTCTCTTTCAGAGAGATTTTTTTCTAAGCCTTCCTTACAATTTCAGGATACGCTTGGCATTCGAAGCGATCTTTCGGAAGTCCGCCACCTTGCAGGACGTAGATCCTGATCCGGAACTGGGATCTGTCGTCAGTGCAAGACCTGACAGTCAGGATGGCATGAACGTAGCGCCTCACACGCCCATGCTGGCTCCGAGTCCAGCCACATCGAAGAAAGTGCAACTGGTTAGTCTAAAATAATTGTTTATACACCTATAAATACACAAAAATCATGTGACACTTATGCACAAAAATGTAAACTGGATATAGACTATATCAACTATTAAATGTAACATTAGGTATTAACATTTCACAGTTATTGCAATAACAAAATTGATATTTCACAAAATATTTATCCTAAATTAAAGACTATTTTTATATTTATTATTGTTTAACACATTTTTCTTAAGCAGACACTGTAACATAAAATATTTTTTTTTTTCAGACTTAGACTTAAGACTTAGTACACCATACTAAAGGTTTAGTTCATTGAAACATGTGAAAAATAATGAAAAATAATATTTTATTGTCAATAGCCCCGAGAGAGAGTGATAGACATGTCTGCAGAAGATCAGAAGCGATGGGAGGAGAGCGAAATGGCGTTGGAGGTCGACTTCTCCAGGTGTCACATCGACCCAGCACCTTTCCAACTAGTCGAAAGGACGTCTTTGCTGAAGGTTCACAGTCTGTTCAGTATGGTTGGAGTAAATCATGCTTACGTGACGGCTATAGGAAGGCTGGTCGGAGTTGTTGCGTTGAAAGAGGTTCGTTCAAACCCAAATTCATCATTTTCAATTGCCAACTCGATCCAGGCAGTGGTTCTCAATCTTCGTTTTCTAAATCAGTTGCTAAATTCCATAATTGCTCCACTACCAAGAAACACTACATATATAACTCATACAAAATCAACAAAATCGCAGCTTTTTATATAGATCGAGATGTAAATTAAAGTTGCTATCAAAACCTGCTGTGCCCTCGAGAGATCACTAAAAGAAAAAGAAATCCAAAATTAATTATTTTTTCTTAGAATTATTGAATATTGAAGAAAAGAAGAAAAAAAGTGTTCAAGTTTATAATTACATATTCACAGCGCTAGAGCTGTTACACGAGAATAATATTCTTAATAGTATAACACCCACTTTAAGAGGGGTAGTATCACCTAAACGAACGGTATTTTCACAAATTTTTTACAGAGAACATGTGCATTCAGTCGAAATGACTTGTTTACCATATATGAACCATTTATTGAATTTTCGGAAACAATATTTTTTAAACGTCTATGTTCCTTTTGTAACGGAGAAAATGGCGTCATCCTGAAGCATGTACCTACGGTATACTGTTCAACACGATAACTCGAAAACTGTTCACCCAAATTCGACAAAATTTGGTATACACATTCTCAATAATATTTTCTATTGTTTGACGTAAGAGTTTTTTTAATTTCACAAAATTCTGGAAATTATAGCAATGTTTAAGAAATGGATTTATCACCAATATTTTTTATCAATATCTCGAAAACTAATTTTTTTTAAATCGGAAATATGTCAACCGATAGAGAGTGTTATTGAAAGTATGTGTACCAAATTTTATCGAATTCGTGTGAACTATTTTCGAGTTATCACGTAGAATAGCCTATCGTATATGCTTCGGGATAACGCAATTTTCTCCGTTACAAATGAACATAGACGTTTAAAAAAAATTGTTTTCTAAAGTTCAAGAAGTGCTTCAAATATGGTAAACAGGTCATTTCCATCGAATGCACACATTTCCTATAACAAATTCCTTAAAATGAATAATATTCCTCAAGTATAAAAGTTGAAAAATTGATTTTTGGCCTGAAAAGGATGCTTGTTGAGGCCCGCGGGTCCCAGATTAAGAACCTGAATTTAATTTTCGCAGCTGAGGAAATCGATAGAGGACGCGAACGCCGGGATCTTGCCCATGCACCAGGAGTCCCACATCGGTGTGTCGAGCTCCAGCCTGGCGAAAAGCGAGACGGACACGGAAAGCAAAAACGTCAGCACGATGAACTCCATCGATTCCGTCGACTGTGAGAAAGTGGAAAAAGTTTGAAGGGTGAAGCAGTCGGAGGGGGAAGTGAGACGGTGATAAGTAGAAGCAATAATGTGATAGTCGCGTTGCAGAGTACGCGACGTGACCCGAACGATGCGAGAGACGTGTCTTCGATTAAATATTTCCTTACGATCCGCAACCGTGAACACTCCTGGGGAAACTCGACGGCCAGAGTCAGGAGTATTTTATTTTACCAACGGCGAATACGAATTTCACGTTCGTTGATAAACCAAATTCAGGCTAGTTACATTCGTTGGTAAATCAGAGTTCATCAAACCGACGCTATAAAAACTAGAGAATTTTGTGAACGAAAGAACGAATCGAAAATTTTTATTCGTTATTCGTGAATAAAATTCGACTCTGGGTCCACGGATAGAGCCGCTTGCGCGTAGCAACGATCGCTTTCGAACGCTCCTCTCGTACTTAACTGGAGACAAACTATACGTCGCGTTTAAAAGCTACACTTTGGACGGAACGTGCCACCCTGTATAAGTGACGCGTTACTCGCAGTAGAATTTGGATACTTTCGGAGCCCAGGTTGTCAGGTTGACACTGTTCGAACTTTCGGTGCTCCTCGGATTCTGGAAGCTTTTATTTATCGCTCTGAATACTTCTTGACTCCACGTTAACTGCCTCTAGGGATTTTCACTATTGCGTCTTGTTAACTTTGGTCCAGTTTAATTTGCTGCAAGACAATTCCGACAAAAGTTGGTTATCGAAAACTGGGAGTTAATGGAGTAGAAAAGGACAGCTAGTAAAAGAGAAAGGTGGTGTTTCAGTGGTAGGGATGAGCACCAATCATATACGCGGTAGATCGGTTCAGTCATATATCGAACGTTCACTTAAACAGAGTCTCAGATGCGTGTAGACTTAATCAACCATTGGAGAGCATTGACTAAATCGATAGGAAATGGAAGAATCTTCGAGGAAATTCGACTTGGAAGATAAAGAGATTCTTAATTCGAAGGTACTACAGTTGAAAGATTGACGACGATTACCTTTAGGAAAATACACGAACGAGTTGGAAATTCGAGAAGGCTTGAACAGTGTCAACAAAGGGTGTTCACGGAGTTCGTACGCGACAAAGGAAGTTTTCTGAACCGAGGATTTTCATTAGGGTGTAATCTTTCATTTTTCCTTAGACGAATCTTTCCAAACGCGGACGACGATCCTTCTTCTCTCGTTGTATTCTCCTTAGCGTAATAGATATATTATAATAGTGTTGTACTAGGTGCGTGTACGAGCGAATTGTTCGCGATATTAGTGCTCAAAAGATAGTCCGCGATGGCGCACAGAGTGACAAATTAACCGTGTTCACAATCGTAGAACTCTCTATGGAAAAGAGATTTCTTCTTAATCTTTCTATCAAGAGTTTCGCGATTTTATCGCTAAATTAGTTAATATGTCCGACTGTGACAATGCGTTGAAGGTTAGACATTAGAAAGAACGGTGGTGCTCCGTCGACGAGGATCACGAAGGTGATTAATAATGTATTAAGTTCTAGGAAGTACGATAAATTCAGCCGCGTGACAAAGGTTTACGACGCGGAAGATAAAGAATTGGAAACTCACGCTGCTAAATGCTCCTATAGTATATAACTATTTGACCATGGTTGTGCCAACCTATTTATTCTAATCGTTAATCGTTAGCTGTAAGCGCACGAAAGTCACGTAGGTCTATTGTTACGAGCTACGTATGAGATTTGCCAAAATTCGTTATAGACGGTTCCACGAATGTTTAAAATATAATAATGGGAAGCACGGTTGCTCCATGACGCGCCTCGAGCAATCTTTTCACAGATAATTTAATCGACGAGGTGATATCGCGTTCTAATAGAAGGTTCAGCCGTAATTTAAACGTCTTAATTAATCGTTAACTAGGACCAGAGCGAAGGACCGACCACTATCGGTCGCGGACACGGATATTAATTTAAGGCAAACAGTTCGTAGGGCATTGTACATTCCATCCGACAAATACTTTCACGATGCATCCCATTTTGTTGTAAATTTATTGCGTTACACGACATCGAAGCTTTATGCGACACTAATCGCTAAATATAAGTATACTATACAATCGGAGATGACATTAAATAATTTATTATGTTATTTACATATTGTGCTGACGGTGACTATGAACGTCGTATGGGTACTCGTTCCTCCTCTTGTGTTTTTCAATTAACCATTAGACTGCGGATGTTTATGCATTCATGGGAAATTTTAATTCTCAGAAAACAGAACAGAACTCAGAATGCACTTAATATGCAAAAATGTAAGAAATACTTGAAGTAAGATACGAATTATTATATTTAAGGGTTGAGACAACCCCCTACAAAGATCCCATTTCGTTAATTCTATTAATACAAATATAAATTTGCATAAAGATCCGTGGTCTATTAATCGCTATATCATTTTGACAGTCTTTCTGGTATCGAAACTATCACACAAAATTTGTGTGCAGAACGACAAAGTTTGTGTCAAAATCCTTCCATGCGTTTTGAATATTGTAATCTGGTTTTGGAATTGATCGCTATACCATTTGGACCTTTATTAAGACTGTTCAACATAAAAAAAAATAGTTTATGTCAAAGACTTATTTTTTGATAAAGAGAAAAAGTTGAATTGAAGTTGAAATGATAGAAGATTCTGAATTTTTACGCAAACTTGGTCGTTTTCCTCCACCATGTGGAGTGAAATCTAGGTTATATTTTCAATATGAGCTGAAAAATACGTCGCTGGACGTTCTGGAATCTCGGGTTCAGTCTACTTGGCCAAGGTGAACCAGCCATGCAAGCACTTTGGCACCGGGCCAGGAGCGACAAAGGTAGATCTCGCGACTTCTGTGAGAGTCACGGCGTCTAGGATCAACAGACCCACCTGGGTCTCCTTCTCCGACCACACAATAGCGCTCAGTACAACGCCGTCGTCCTCGTTCTGAAACAAATAAGCCAAACCTTAGGAGGTACCCGTTTAACTGTCGCGCTCTCGTAAATATCGCGTTCCCAGAATCGCTTCGAGTCAAAAGGGTTGAGCAAATTTTATTCTCGTACGACAAATTTTCTTATAAACGTAAAAGTAGAGATGCACCTTTTCAAAACATTCCTAATTGAGGGGTTATTCACAATTTAATGAATATTATAGTTCTCCAATTGTAAACTACATTTCTAGGGGTGATTTTACTTGAAAGAAAAGAAAACATTGATATACTTTTTCATCTTCTTTAAGATTTGTTCGATTTTGTTCAAGCAGTGTTTAAACAATATTTTATTGTATTTTACCTTCCCATTGGGATCCGGTACGAAAATTGGCTCACTAGGGTAGACATCCTTCTCGTACCACGTCTTCCTAGTTTTCTTCACAACGTCCACCTTGATGATCTAGAAAGTAACTTTTTATACTTATCCTTAGAAGTTTGAACAGATCAAAAATTACCGTTCCAGGATTCTCCAGGTCCACGTCGCTGGAGATTGCGTAGAAGTAGCGGTACTCTTTGCCAAGGTAAGAATCGTAATTGAGTCGCGGTGTCTCGCACCCTAAATTGCAGAGAAGTTCCGGTTTTAGATAAACATTCCCATTCGAGAGTCTGTGAGCAGATGCTTTTCTTAAAAGATTATTTCTGCAGGCACTTTTGCTGTTCATAGAATTTTTGATCGAATCGTCGATTGGTTCGTCGATGTTTTGAGACGATACTAAGCGTTGATTCACCGTTTTCACTGTTATCAAATCGTACTCTAAGGGTACTGTTAATTGTGGTTGCTTCATCGGTAATACGAACCGCAGAGGCCTGCTCCGGAACATCTTAGCATAATCGGGATTCTCGTGCAAATTCTGTGAACACCAACAGAATGTTTCTTTTTTTTAATGGTCTTTGAAGCAATTGTCAATAACATTAGTTAAATTGAATTTGTACACGTTTTTTACTATTCAGATTAGTAACATAAAATTATAAAATTATCCAAGGCCAAAATTTCTTGAGTGTTCATATTAAAATTAGTTTACAATGGTTGTATAAGTATGTGTTCATTTCATTGGTTATTGATATATGAAAATTGTAAAATACTGAAGAATATTTTTTCCTAGTTAAATAAACTTGGGGCTGAGGCTACTACTAAATTAAATTGAATATTCAAACCACCCCAAGTTTTACATGTTGAGAAAAACTGGTTTTAAATTCGTTTGCAATAGAAAATTTATTCAAAATTAAATATTTTCAGCTACAATGTTTAATTGAAACTAAATATGCTGTATTATTTAGTAATTTCTTTTACGAATGTAAAACCATTTAATCATAATTTGACTATACAAATAAAACGAAAATATTCAAACCAACCCATACGTGTTGAAAAAGACTGATTTTAAATTCATTCGGAATAGTGATCATGAGGTTTTTAGTCCTGTAAAAGTCCTACTCAACTTCTCGAAATCCTCCGCCAGGTCATCAAAGAGTCCGCAAAGGATTTAAAAACACAAAAAGTACCTTCATTGATTCCACGAACATGCAATCCAACATCTTCGCGTCGCGATAACAGCAAATGTCCAGGACCACGTAGTCGCGATCCTGCGTCTCGAACTGGTTGATTATATGAAGATAGAAAAATACTTCCGTGACGAAGGTCCTCTTCAGTGACCCAGTCTTCCTCGAAACCAAGTGTATGAGGGTCTGGTAACGAATAAAAAAATTATTTTAGAAAGTGCTTCTCTTCGTCCCCAAGAACAATAAAGGACCTCTTTAAACTCACGTTTTCATTTTCGTGCCACTTTAAAGCCGCATGCATTGGTTCCTGCCTCACTTTGCAGGATATTACAGTGGTAAGAGAGACCGCCAGGGGTTGTTCGATAATTATGAAATAGTTTTCAGTGATACCAAACGTGTGCATGTAGGATGGATTCAGCAGCCACCTGGACGGGACACTGGCGACGATAGTGGCTTGATCGAACATAGAGAGCTTCTTTTCTCTCCCTGAATCGTCTAGAAACATTAATTACCAACTATTCTTGAGATTCTGACTCGATCAAAGCGTGTAGTGTTTGAAAATTCTCGAGTCAGGACCAGAAACACTATTGGGATTGATTTTATCGATCTTAAATCGAATTGTTTAGCTCAAATCAATATTTATCGATAGAGGTATACATTAGACATCCATAATAAGGCTATTCGATCGAATAAAAAATTTAAAAAAAAATACTAACCTATGACAACACGGCTGGGCATAAAACACACAACATTGTACATGGGTCCACGCGGATTTATGCTCATTCCTATGTTGTAAACGGTTCCATCTTTCATCACGTGAGGGTGGGATGTGTGGTTCACGATGCTGACATAGTCAGACACGTTTATCTGCAAAGAAAGAAAGCTCAATTAGTGTCTAGCTTACAGTAGAAATGTACCAAAACTTTTTGTGAAAAAATTTACGATAGATTGTTTGTCGTTTCAGTCGAGGTTAATATTCGTGAAGTTTAACAGGTTAGAAATGCTATTTTTAAACTTTTCTGGTTACCCAATAGTCATTATTTATGACAGAGAATTTCTTTTGTTCGGTTTATATTATAATTCTGGGTGATTATTGCTGTTTACAGTAATAAAATTTATAAATTTTATCTGTATTAGGCTTGATCGTAAACAAAAGTGAAAACCATTGAAAGTGAGTGAAATAGAGAAAATTGTTCAACGTTTGCTCATTCTACAGATTTTAAAATCGTTCAGAAATCAAAATACATGCATAGTTTTTTTACAAATTCAATGATTTTCATATGGTACATTCACCAATAATCCGTAATCTACCATATTATTTTGTTTTGCATTTTTAATTGCTTCGCATCTTTTTAACGAGTTCAACATCTTTTTTTTAAATTTCGTTTTTCAAGTTTTCAAAAAAGTTTTATGTACGAACAATTAATGATTAGGTTTACAACGTTTGTCAGTTCAATATCGAGGGAGAAAGTAACGACCATTAACGAGGGACTACTGTATTTACCTTACCTTGCCCGTAGTTTCCAAAGTTTCTGGATTTATGCGATGAATTACCGCCGATTCTGCGAAAGTATAAAACTCGTCGCCGAACGGATAGACGGATATCATCGAATTATCCGACTCGTTTTCAGGATTGAACACTGTCGCGACCCTTTGAAAGATACTCTTGCAAGGATCAGGCACAGCTTTCGTGCCAAATTCTGTAACAACTATTCTTTGAGCCGCTTTGTTCTTCTTGTATACGTCCGTTTGCACGAATCTGCACTGATACGTCACTTTTCCATCAGCAATCGCGAATCTACGATTTCAAAATCGAACAGGAAATTTGAATACCTAATTTTTCTCAAATTCGATGAAAATTATATCTACCAGAGGCGTGGGGAGGATCAGAATTTTGAAACTTTCAGGATTTCCAAAAATATTTATGTTTTTCCATTGGCATTGACTGATCGTGATGGTAATAATATATTGGGTAATTAAAATCTCGGTACAAACTACCAAATTATGTAAAAAAATACGCTGCATAAAATTTGAACAAGTTTCTCGAAAATTTTTGCTAATATGAAAAATTGATGGTAATTATTTACTTTAGCGATTCCTCACCAATTTCGATGACCTTGAAATATGTTGTCAAGGTCACTGTTATGAAGATTTTTTCTCTATACATATAACCGTCGCTCGGCCTTAGTTTCCGAGATTTTTCGTTAAAAAGATCGCTGCTACTACAATGAATTCTGTCTATACGCGCGTGACTGTGGCAGGGTGTGTGTAAGCGTTGAATCGCCGATTGTTTATTGTTTTTATAGATACATCGAGGCGACCGGCAATGGATGCGTATAACGGATATGCTTAAAAACTCGATTTAAGTAGCATAAAGAAGTCTAACCCAAACCTTACTTAAACCTAACTATTCTACCTAGTAACTAATATAATGGATTAGGTCTGGGTTAGATTTTTTTATACCGGCCGCCGTAAGGCGGTCGGCCATGCATTCATTTTCTATTTCAATTTTCTTTCTTTATATCATCATTATTTGTATACTGGTATTTGAATATTGGTTTGTACCAAGTTGATATGGGGTAAATATTATGATTGAAATTTTACATGACACTTTTGTTTGTAAGCAGTTACAGATACGGTATTTCACGAATCTGTTCAGTATTTACAGTTGCATTTTGATTATTACCTTGGCATCAGTGATTATTGAGTACCTTATTACAAGTCCTTAAAATGAAGTTATTTTTTATATAATGGCTGACATTTTTCCAATTTCTGTTAATAATAACGATAATAATAATAATAGTAAAGAATAAAGTTTAATTTTTTATCCCCAACTCAACCAGAGGCTAATTCAGATATAATATTGTTTTTGCAAATATCTCGAAAACAAAGGGCGAGCGGCGGTAACATGTATAAAGAAAAAATCTTCATAACAGTGACCTTGACAACATATTTGAAGGTCATCGAAATTGGTGAGGAATCGTTACAGTAAATAATTACCTTGATATACCTCGATAAAGCTAACTAAACATTTCAGAAAATACCTTTGCAATGACACTTGCAAATAAATTGTGATTTCTTAGCTGAAAGGTAATCAACAATTTTCGTGGGTTCCCCCACGCCTCTGCACGAGTCATTGTCGATGACCTTCGAAGCCTGGCAAATGCAGATTTCGCCTTGAATCTACCAAGTGCATAAATGGTTTACTATAAAAAAGATCAAGCCCGGAAAGAAGACTAAAAAAAGCTTTCGGGTCTTTCGCCTCGACACGTCCTGTCAAAGTTATTTTCCACAGACCTTGATAATTAACGTTCACTTAAGATCAGAGGTTTTCGCGGTCAGCATGAGGCTTCTAGCGTGGAAGCTATAATCAATAACATTCTCATATCAACATTAGCTGTGTAACTACATTCGAGAAAAAAATCGTAACTTCTACTAATCAATTTTAATAGCCTTTCAAAGAAAGTATAAATAATATTTTGTTTATTAAACAATACTTTTCTGTCAATTTGCACTATTTTCAATTTATCTAGTAATTTTTATTTGACAATTTTTTCCAGACTTTAGAGTAGTAGAGTTCCTACATAAAATGTCCTATATGACAAGCAAAAATAAATTCTCGTGATAATAAAATACAAATAATATTATTATTAAATTAATTGATTTTTTTAAAGATATAAGGTGAGCTGATACATTGCTCCGACTTTGCACAATGTAAATATGTAAATATATCCCGCATACTAAGTAAATAAATACAAAACAAAATGGAATCTCGAATACACGGGACACTGTAGAGACACTAAACTTTTCAGACGTTAATCTCATCGACTCATACCGGTGCAGCAAAGCAGAACTATCGAACAGGTGGTTGAAGGTATATTCTCCGACTTTCAGACTCCCAGGCCCGTTTCTCAGCAGAGTGCCCTTCAGCCATGGTGGAATCTGCCCGGTGATGTCGCCGAGGATCGGTTCCATCACTTCCTGTTCGCAGGACCTGGTCCACACGGACGAGTTGCAGTTAGGGAAGTAATTCTTCCCCTTCGAACATTCTGGAACGTCGTCCAGCTAGCAAGGGGGATCGATGGAAATCTCAATATCTCATCACAATATTTATACAACAGAAATTTATTAGAGATGCAATCTAACCAAAAGATTAATTAACTAGATTTGATTTTAGCTACACGACACTCACACGGAATGACGTTTTTGATAATTTCATCTGTTTCTCGGGCAACTGATCGTCGAGTTCGTCGAGATTCACCGAATAGAAGTCACTGGTCGACTTTGATCTACCGCGTTTGATCGATTTCATCGCGTATCGACACCGACACCAGACGAACAACGAACACTGGTAGCTCGCGAGACTTTTGTTCATTAACTTCGATTGTACGCGAATTGATTGACGCTACGTTTCATCCTCGACGTTCTCGTCGACCGGCTCCGTGACAAGCGGATCCAGAATGGACGACAGAATATGGTACACTCGCTTGTGGGTGAAATCCATCGTTCACCTTAGGGCTTCGACGAACGAATGACATTGTTCCGATAATCTGCTGACCTTAAAATGTAGTTTCACCGTGATCCTATTAACGGCACCGGTCACGTGCAATTCCACCCTCTTCCGAAATCATTCCACACCCCTAACACGTGGTCGCCACTCACACGTGGCATCCTTTCGATCAACGTTGATCGTTAACGCGTTAAACGCTATGCTCCTCGGGAACTAATCTTTCCGTTTAAACGGTATCAACACGTAAAGCTACGATTCGTATGATATAACAGTGCTTTTATTTTCTAGAAACAAGATGACTGTGATACCAAAACGACTGACTCATCTAGGTTGGTCGATATTCTACAACGCGAGCACTGGAAATTCGAGTTGCTATTTTCGCCATGAGAAAAGTCGTTTAATTGACTGAATTCGTGATGATTCAGCTGCTTTAAACGCGGCTAAAATTATTCACGGGACGATAATATTGTTGTTTAGCGAAATTCGGCCTTCGCTATATTTATAGATTTTCTCTCCCTGGGTAAATTTACCATTGTTTTTCTATTGCATTTCGAAACGTGCTTCCGGGTCGCAAAACGTCACATGAATTTCGAAAGTTCGCTATATTCCTTTTTTATCGATTGTCAATTCTTTTCATCCCTGTCTTACCGATCATATAAACTGCTTTACCGATTTCTACGGTTACCGATCGGCACGTTTACGAATATCATTTAAATTTATGGAACGTCGTATGGAAATGAAAATTCACGAAGCAGAAGACGAAAATAAAACGCGATACGCAATAACAGCCACATCGAGCTCCTTTATCGTCGTTCAGGGTTATCGTTTCGAACACTTGAAATTCGGGAAAGTGGTACACTCAATAGTGGAAACAGAAAATGTCAAAATATTTTGTTCTATCTTTAAAAATAAACGAGTTGTTCATGCGACACATTTAGAACGCCTTATGTTGTACACGTGCAACGTTGCTCGAATGAAACGTAATTCTGGCAAGGTTATAGTAAATATACACTTAGATATTTCGATCTCTTCTTTTCCTGAAAATTGAAGCAAGATGAAAATCTCTAAATTTTGTATATTATTTACGTAAATAGGTGGAACGTTTTTCCACGCGATTGGACAGCGCGATAGTTCGATTTACTGTCTTTATTGGGAGAGCTGACCAACTCACGTGACGCACCTCTCGCTTCTCCCGAGCACGTGACTGGCACGTGGGGAAGGCATGAGTGCACCGTTTCGCATAAAACTGCACGTATCGTCGGCTGGACGCGACCTTATGCGAGCGCTGGGTGATGTGTCACGCAGAACGCCCGACCCACTTGTTAACGTGCACACAAACACGTAGAGAACAACTGTTAACGCGAAACACGAACACATCCTCCGCGGATTAATTTTCCCAGTTACCTCGTTTTTTCTCTCCATTTTTTTTTATCCACGCATTAATTCAACTGTTCGCGAACGTCAATAGCAACTTCAGATAACGTCACGAACTACCGTTTAACCACAATTTTCACACACAAATTAATTCTCACAGTTATTTGAAAAATAAATAAACCTATTAGGAAATAACATTTTTTTCGTAAGGTATTACGAAAAATGAATTAATTTATTCCCAGTTTGAATTATTTATTTGCCACTTAGTAATGTTTTGTTAAAAGCTAAAACAAATTTTTCCTAGAATAAATAATACTAGTCAATGTTTCCAATAGTATAGTTATTATTTTCTTTATTTACACGTATATTATTGCAACCAGATAGTATCTATATTCCGTTATTGGCAATAAAATTGATCGTGAAATAAATTAATAAATATTAAATATAAATCGAGAAATAAATAAGTATTGGTTAATTGATCAAACCAAGAATCTGTCAAACGATTACTTTCGAAACAAATAACGCCCAGTGAAGAACTGCCATGGCGGACAGTTCGTGAACGCCTTTATATAGTTTTTAAGATTAAATAGCGCGATCTTCATCTCGAAAAGATTACAATTTAGCTGAAATTGTCGCGGTTTGTTTTGTTTCATCCTTGGTACAATTACCTCCAACCTCTATTTTTCTGTGTTTGTTTTTATTCATCCTATTAGTCTCAATTTCTTTCTCGGTTCTTCGAATTAGTGCATAGATATAAATTAACGTTTCTATAAGCTTGCACGAGGAATAAACGCGGAATCAAGGCTGTCGTGATCTTTCTTATCGTTTCGATCGTAAATCATGCACGGCGAGAAACGAGGAGCGACACGAACGAACCGTTTTGCGAATAGTTTCTCCACAGTCACTGAACGATAAGTGCAATTTAACGATGCGTCGATTAAACATGTATTCAACCTTGGAATATTTCCACCTGATTTGCTGAACTATTTTTCAGTACTCGGTTGTTTTTCGTGACGATCTATGAAAATCTAAAAGTCAACCTCTGTGCATCAAATGCCTAAGGGAAACAACAGCTGGTGTCGATGAGTCGTGGAATTAATTAACACTTTTATAGAAATGTTGTCGCTTTGCTACTACGATACGGAATATGTAGGAAAAATTAACGCCTGGATTATCTTTCTGAGAACGATGGAAGAATTTTTCAACGACATTCACCGTTATTATATTCGTGTGTAAATAATTTCTCTATAGGATTTGTGAGCCCCGTTTGCCTTATAATGAAAAGTAGCATTCCTAGTCAAGTAACACTAACGGAATGTCTGGTTTCAGGTATTATGAAGTTTGTTGACTCTCAGAGATGCCGAAACTTGTGCGCTCCTTGAAAAATATGCAACGTTAAAATTTTAGTTAACACTTAAATTTAGGATTTTTTTTGTTATTTTTTTAAAGAATTTTTATTATCTACAAAACGTGTATCGAAATTCATAGAAATTTCTTTTTTCAGTTCCCTGGATATTATATCAAAAAACTGTAATAACAAATAATTAAATTTACAGTTATTAATTGAAATTAATAATTTAAAAAAATTTTAGATCGAACAAAACATTTCGATATTTTATATTTTTATTTTTTGAATTTTTTGCTGGCCTATTTCTAAACATACTTTAAAGCCATAAGTTGTACAGGTATATACATTATTCAAAGTTTATGATAACATTCGCGATATGGAATAGTTTTACATTATTTTCGATTCCTTATGTTTGTAAAAAGTACATATCTTCGGTCGACGTGATATTTTTCTATCCCTTCTGTGGCGAAAAGTTTAACTATAATTATTTTGGATCATGTTTGACGTTTAATTTTTTTTTGTCAAAAATGTGCAAAGTTATTTCTTCGAGCTTGAGCTTTTATGAAACTTAATTTCATGACTTGTAAAATGACACAAATTTGGAGAATAGAATATAGATTAAAATTGGACACCCTGTATGCACGCTAATGCTTTAAGCAGCGTGTACCTACGCGAGTTCAGCATTTCGGATAGCTTCGTCAGCTTCGTTAAAAAAGAGAATTGTTTGCAAATGGCATACGAGCTTGAATGCCGTCGTTTACTTTTGCCAACGACCTTTGCCTTCGAATGACGATTCATGATTCATGTTTTGACAACGCGTGTCGACAATGCTACCGAGTAGTCAGCCAGATTCATTTCGTTCTTACTTTCCTATTTATAAGAAATAGTAATGAAAACAAAAATTCCAAAGAAATTTCTTTACGCTTCGAATCGATTATTTTTCGACTATTAAAGAAACTAGAATGACTGCGTACAGTAACTCACGAGATAGATCACAAGTTTCCAGTGTTGTTGGAATTATTAGAACTGTTAACACTTGCACAAACCATTTAAATTGCATTTCTTTACTGCAAGATAATTGCAAATAAAGATACTTTCACTTTTTTACAATAATTGAGTTTCATAATTTTAAACTACATGCTTGAACGTATTTCAGTGAATTTTTACAGAATTTCATATGCATCCAGAACATATTTTGCTATTTACTAACACCACATTCAACCATGTGTTACATACCATATAGAAAGTATTAAACACATACTTAAACATCTTTCAGTGAATTTTTACAGGATTTTTTATTCATCCAAAATGTCTACAAATCGTGCCAAACTTGAAAGACATCCAAATAAGGCTAAATTGATTTTTCTCATTTTTAAATATTATTTTATCACAAACAGTCCAGGTATAACACATTTAAGTAAAACAAAAGAAAGAAGCGTTAGTTAATACATATGATATAAAAATAAAAACAAAATATTTACTAAATTTCTGTGGAAACATTTCAACCATATGTTACATACAGAGAATGCTGATTTTAGATACTGAAAAATAACTGCAAATAAAAAGATTCTTTCACTTTTCTTCAACATGTGATTTTATATTCTTATACTACATACTGAAACATGTTTCATTGAATTTTTCCAGAATGTTTTATTCATCAGAAACGAGACAAACTTGAATCCAGTTTGCCTATTCAAAGTTAATTCGTGTTAGTTGTCCTGTCTCTCTCGATCGATTGGAATTGGTTTAAAGATCAGAGGCTTAAATCACTTATAATGGCGATTTATCGGCATCGATAATCATTCTTGAAGGCTGATCACGGCACATGTGCCTATATATTGTTCCTAGGAAGATCGACGACAGTTGTTAGAGCGACAAAGTTCTCCTCTAATCGCGTTAATGAAACAACATGATAATCACGTACACATCTGACACAACCATCTGCTCACCTGTTGACGAGTTACCAGCTTTAGTTTAATATACTGTTTCTTAACAATTAAGTTGTTAGGATCTTATAGACGATTCGAACGAGTTATTGCGTAATCGAGCATGACAAGAATACGTGATTACGACTCTTAGAAATAGTGTAGATTCTTAACTGAAAATTTACAACGTATCTAAGGTTATAGTAATCAAACTGGAATGTTCAGTGCAGAGTTGCATAAAGTGGATGTAAGAAACATTTGAAATACAGTGTTTCAGACGTTTATCGTATCATTGCCGTGCTTTTATCAATGTCAATATTCGCCAGGAGATCTCTACTCTGTCCACTTTCTTCTGTTTCGATTGCAGATATATTCATTATTAACTGTTACTTATTCTTTACACAAAAATATTTCATTTGATTTTTATTCAATTTATACATTGAAAATTTCAAGTGCATTTTTTTCAATTTGTGCATTGAAAAATTCTCTATATAGAAAATTATTGAAAAACGAGTATCCAGATTTTACAATAAATAATACGGTGGGTTATATCGTAAAGAAATATTTAAATCGTTCAAAAGAAAAGATAATCCAAAATGGCGCATGTATCATTGACCAAGTTCTATATAAAATTAACAGTATTTGATATTCTTATAGCAAAATATATTCTTTGTTCAACACGTGAATGTTCAACTACAAATCGAATAATTTGAATTGAAAAAAAAACACAAGTTTAGCATATAATTGGAATATTAAAAACTGCATGAGTCATATTTTTCTCTTATTCGATGACACATTTGACTGCCACGTCAACCATATTTGGATGACTTCTCACTATGGAATTAAAACAATTCTAAAGTTGAAATGTTAAAGGAAATAAACTTGAATAAACTGTTAAACATTAGTCACGAAAATAAGTACTGAGTCAAATTTTAGCT